TCTCACTATTCTCATACTTCCACTATCATCTCTCTCTCTGACTAGTAAAATCCCCAACCCTGAATCAAATTGCCTCTGATTCTATAACCAGGTTGCTGATTATAGTGGAGAAAACTCACACATCCATAGACTGGTTCCCTCAAAATACTTGCTTCCTATCTTAACTGAGTTCTGCCTGGCAATTGCTGTCTGGCAATTTTATGGGTTCCTAGTTACAATTTCAAGCCTTCTCTGCTCTCTTCACATTTCCTACAGTCTCTTCAAACTTTCTATCCTATTACTCCCCAACTCTCAGTAGGCCATTGTAATTTCTCTTCGGGGGAAAAAAATAAAAGACATCAGATGAAATTACCTCAACTTCTTGCCACCTGTTAAATAAGAATCCTTGTATACAGTAGTTGATAGCACAGGCTCTAAGGCCAGATACTCTGGTTAGTATCCTAGCTCTGTAACTTACTAGAGATGTGATCTTGGGTAAGTTGCTTAACCCTTCAGGGTCTCTGTTCCTCAGTGTCCCTTCTGAAAGCCCCTTTCCAGTAGCAATCAAAATCATTTACACCATTCACCTCTTCCCTGATCTTATATTCAAAAGGAATATTTTTCCCTATACCTCCTTGCCTCACAGAATTGTTATGAGAATTAAATGAGTTAACACATATGGATTGCTTATAATTGCCTGGCATACAGTAAGCTCCCAATAAATGTCAGTCATCTGTTACTACGATTATCAGCATCTGCACTTACCTTAGCTCCGTTACAGTGCAAGAGGCACTCTCCTCTTCCGAGGCAAAATCCTCCGCCAGCATTCTGGGTGCCAATCCTTCAAGGAATTTGAATATCAATTTTCCCCATTTCCTTTCAAATAGTGTATAAACATGATCAATTCCCATCCATCTTAAAAATAACCTCCTACAAACCCATAACCCTTTCTAGATGCCTCCTCTCCTTAGCTCACCTCACCTCTAATCACCCTTCATAATCAAGATTCTTAAATAGTTGTCCACACTACCTGTCTCCATTTCTCTAATTTCTATTATTTATTACCCTACTTCAGTTTGGGTTCAGAATTCAATTCTCTATCAAAACTGCTTTTGCTAAGGCAGTTCTCAGAAGGGACAATTCTGCCCCCTCCAAGGGACACTTGGCAATGTCGGGAGACATTTTTGGTTGTCACAGTTGGGGGCTGCTACTGGTGTCTTGCGGTAGAGGGCAGGGATGTGGCTAAATATCCTATACATAGCACAGGGCAGCCCTCCACAACAAATAATTATCCAACCCAAAATGTGAGCAGCACCAAGGTTGAGAAATCTCATGCAAAGATAATTTATAACCTCCGTATTGCTACATACAATGAATGCTTTCTATCCTTTATGTGACTTGGCCAACTCGAGCACTTGACCCCATTAGCTTCTCCCTCCTTGTAGTCCACTCTTCCCTTGGGTTCCACTGACACCTCACTGGTATTCCCAGTCTGTTTCAGTATCCTCTTCTATTATTATTTTTTTATTTTTGGCTGCACCACATGGTTTGTGGGATCTTAGTTCCCCAACCAGGGAGCGAACCCAGGCCCTCAGCTGTGAAAGCAAGGAGTCCTAACCACTAGACCGCCAGGGAATTCCCTATTATCTCTTAAATATTGGTACTTCTCAGGGTTTTGTCCTAGGTTCTTTTCTCTCTAGACTCCAAAACCATTAGAATCAATTGGGGCTTTTGTTTTTTAAATGTCCCAGGCCTCACAGATTCCACTGTTCTGGAGTGGAGCCCAGACATCTTCTGCATTTAAAAAAAGTTGCTAGCTAATTCTAGTATTCAGCTAAGATGGAAAACCACTACACTAGTCTTATTTTAATCATATCCACTCTCATCACTTTAATTACCATTTATATACTAATGACTCAAATCTATAATAATAGAGTCTTTCACTTAGTCAATATTCATTGAGTACCTACCTAGGTACTGGGGTAGAACAGTGAACATCAGAAGAGGTTCCCTACTCTCCTGGAACTTACATTCTAATGGAGGAGAGAAATTAACCACAAAAAGATTGTTTCATATAGTGATAAGTACTGTGAGGACATCATTAAGAGGTGATGTGAGTGTGACTGGAAGAAGTATTTTAGATACGAAGGTCAGCAAACACCTGGGAGGGAGGGTGGGATTTGACCCAACATTGTTATGAAAAGAAGTCAACCATGTGAATATGAGGAAAGAGAATCCTGCACAAAGCACACGCAAAGATACTAAAACAGAAGCACATTTTGTACCATCAAGATTAGGACCAATGTGGTTAAGGTAAGGTTAGTATGGAAAAATATTCTCCTATGAGGTTGTGGAGACAAAGGCCATATCATACAGGGCTTGGTAAGCCAAGGTAAGGAATTTATAGCCAACATACAATGGGAGGTCACTGAAAGGGTTTTAAAGAGGCATGACATATAGGTTGATTTACATCATTACCATATTGTTCAGCTGCTGTGTGAAGAATAGATTTTAGAGGGGCAAGATTGTGGGGGACCTATTAATGGGCTATTGCAGTTATCCAGAAAAGTGATGACTGTAGCTTGTACTAGGATTAGAACTAAGAATATAAAGATGGTTTCAGGATATATTTTGGAGGTAGAATTAAAAGGATCTGCAAGTATGGGATGAGTGAAAGAGAAATCAAATATAAATTCTAAGTTTTTTATCTGATCTGATTTGGGTAGATTAAGACTGATATGAGGAAGACCAGGAAGAAAGAAACTGATTTGGAGATCAGAAGTTCTGTTCAGTCTCAGTGGAGTCACCAAAAAAAAAAAGTTATGTTAAATACATCCTAGTGGAAAAGTCAAGCAGGCAGCTGGATATAATGCAGAGTTAAGGGAAGAAGACAGACTGGAGACATAAATTTGGTGTAGTCATCACCATATAAAACCCAGGATAAAAGTGAGTATAGGGGCTTCCCTGGTGGCGCAGTGGTTAAGAAGAATCCGCCTGCCGATGCAGGGGACACAGGTTCAAGCCCTGGTCCAGAAAGATCCCACATGCTGTGGAGCAACGAAGTCCGTGTGCCACAACTACCGAAGCCCATGCACCACAACTACTGAAGCCCGCGCGAGCCCGTGCTCCGCAACAAGAGAAGCCACCGCAATGAGAAGCCCATGCACCGCAACGAAGCTTAGCCCCTACTCACGGCAACTAGAGAAAGCCCACGCACAGCAACAAAGACCCAACGCAGCCAAAAATAAATAAATCAATTTTTTTTAAAAAGTGAGTATAAATAGAAGAAAGGGGATCAGAACAAACTGAGAAACTTCTAAAACGTAAAGGGCAAGTAAAGCTAGCAAAGTAGACAGAAGTCAGGAAGGAACATCAGTGGCACGTAATGTTCAGTGCTGCTGTTCTCTGAGCTGCGGATTTGCACACCCAGCTGCTGACTGAATGTCTCTACTTGGAAGGGACATTCACAAGTGCCCCAAATTCTACTTACCCACAACTGAATTAATTTCCCTCATTTTACTCCCAAACCTGTTTCCTTTTCCAGTGTTTCCTATTTCAATGAACAGCACATCTACCCAACTGCCCAGGCCAGAAACCTGACTCTTCTGATATCCAGCCAAATCCCATCAAATTTCCCCCTTCACTTCTCAAATCTATTATCTCCTCCTCATCCAGTCACTATCTGAGCTCAGACCTGTATCATCTCTCACCTGGTATTCCATTTTGTCTCCAGTCCAGCCTCTCTACTAGGCAGCCATAATTATCTTTCAGTTGATGCCACTCAGGTCAGGCCATTCCCCTGCTTAAAATCTTTTACTGACTCCCCATATGGAGGCAGGGGGAAAATGAAATGCAAGGACCTTACCGTAGAGCTGGCTTACTCCAGTCTTATCTTTTGCAGGCCCATTCTTAAACTTCTTCCTCCAATCACAATGCACTACATACAAGTCTCAAGGGCACAGCCTGTTCCTCACTCTTTTAACTCCTGATTTACTAATATTTGTTCATGTCAGTTTTCTGCTGGGAACACCAATTCCTCACCCCAGCCTCTTTACTTAGCCAATTCCTACTCTTCCCTCAAGGCTCACCAAGCTTTCCCAATCCCACATGACTGGATTAAGTATCCTTCCAACCAGCCCTCAAAGCACCTTGTACTATTCTTACTGGAGCACTTATCAGACTATACACTCTCTGTTTGCTTGATGAGCAATATATCCAGCATCTGATGCAGTGCCTTACCCTTGGTAAGGGTAGGAAAAATAGTTTTTTAAAGAATATCAAATAATATATTATGTACATTGGTATCTTAACCCTGGTTTGTCAAACCCTTACTCTTCCTTCCTAGCCCTTGGACCCCCATATTCCCAGCGTCTAGAACACTGCCCTAAATAAATGGTTCTCAGCTGTAAACCTGGTTTTTATCAAAACCACCTGGTGATCTTAAGATAAATTAAGATTCCCAGCTCTACCTCCCCACATCCCACCAATTTCTGATCCAGTAGACCTGGGGTGAGGCCTAGGAATCTGAAATTTTGACAACCTCCTCTGGTGGTTCTGACATGTAGTCATGCTTGGAAACTACTATTCTAAATGGAGTAGGAACTCAATAAATACGGTTGGAAGTAACATTTTAATTTCATGAAGTAGAATTCATTTCCTAATTCTTTAGAGTTCGAATCTGCTGTAACTGCATCCTGAGTGTGACAGAACAATGCACTAATGTACAAAAGTCCACAAAACAAGCATCCTTTATTGCAGTACTACAAAACACTTTCCATTTTGGCAATATTTTACAACGCACTTAGCTTCAAGGGTTGGGAAGGAGAAGGTTGGAAACTAAAGGGGGATATTTCGATGGACATTTCTAAAAGGAAAACTGTCCCAGCACTCCCACCCAAATAAAAATCCAAATGTCACTTAATTTCACTACGCAAGAAGAGGCCACGAGGAAAGCAGCAGGCAAAACTCTGGCAATTTCACTATGGATCATGTCAGAGACAAAGGAACATTCAAAACAGTCATCAGTATGGTCGGTTGCGTTGATCATTTCTGTAGTCGTTTCTAGGAATGAAAAATAAAGAGCCAGACTAAATTCTAATTTTCTACCAAGGGGAAGCATCAGACACTTCTTCAGGGTGCTGGTGACTGGCATCAGCTTGACAATTTCTATAAGAATGACACCATGCCTAATATATTTCTCTGCTCCTAGAAGGTGCTTACTAAATGTCTAATTTATCAGCTTTAAGACATACAAAGTTCCTAGAAGCCCTGCAATCACTAACTCTCTTAAAAATGTTCCCATCTAGAATAAGGACTTTAAACCACTGTGGTATTTCAGGTCAGAGACTCTGCCATTCCAGCACTCTAAAAAGAAGAGCAGTATAGTGGAATAAGCAAGCAAACACTTTCATTTAAGAATTCTGGACCTGCCACTTACTATGCGATCTTGGAAAAGTTACTCAACATTTCTAACTCTGTAAAATGGCAAGTACATCTACCTCTGGGGTTGACAGAAGGACTAGAACTAAAGTATACAAAGACACTTTCACAGGATTTGTCACACCGTAAGAAGTGTTTAATAGATGATAATTACTAATAGCTAACAATTATACAGTGATTACCATGGCCCCATGCCATGGCATGGTTACCATGGCAACCGTTGTAATATAATCTAATGCAACTCCACGAAGGAGATATCAGCCCCATTTTACAGATGAGAATACTGATGCTCCAAAGGGTTAAGTAACTTGCTTATCAAGCAGCTAATAAGTGGTGGAGCCAGGATTTGAAAGAAGGCAGTCTGTCTCCAAACTCTGTGCTCTTAACTACATGCTTTACTAATTCTTGCTACCCTATATTGTCTCTGGCACAGTAACTGAAGTTATTTTACATCACTGGTTATTCAACTTTTTCTGCCTCTACAGCTTTCACGTGCACAGCACATTCCCATCAGTAGCACCAGGGATTTTCATCTGGAAAAGGTATAACAGAATCTCCAGAGAAACAACTGCAAGGTAGCACATGTGATTTGCTAAAAAAAAAGCACACTCCTATAAAAGCACACTCCTATAAAAGGTGTGCTCTCCCCTCACTTAGATTAAGAATCCCTGATTTACATACAGTTTCAAATCATCTCTCAATCTCAATTATCTTTAGCTATGAGAAAGAATACACACACATTTACCTACAATCATCCAAATATAAAGATCATGAGTAAGAATTTCCAAAACAAATTTTAGGAATTGCTAAGCAGGAAACTAAATGGATCTTCTCCAACCTAACTGAAAGAGTTGACAATGGGAAATTCAAGTTCTAAACAACTGGACAGGAAGAAAATGTGATGAAAAGGGCTCAGACTCTAAAATCTAAGAGCAGTCAGGTAGAAAGGTGAGCATGTACATTCTAATACTCACCTTCCTCCCATTTTGCCTCCATAGCCACCTCGGTCTCCTCCATAGCCGCCGCCACTCCTGTCTCCTCCGTAGCCTCCACTTCGGTCCCCACTGTAGCCACCACCACCACGGTCTCCTCCGTAGCCCCTCCCACTTCGCTCTCCATAGCCGCCACCTCGCTCTCCTCCATAGCCACCACCACGGTCCCCCCCATAGCCACCTCCTCGGTCCCCCCCATAACCACCCCCACTTCTGTCCCCTCCGTAGCCACCGCTGCCACTTCTGTCTCCACCATAGCCCCCCCCACTTCGGTCTCCACCATAGCCGCCTCGGTCTCCACCTCTGCCCCCACGACCTCTGTAGCCCCTCTCTCCACCGTAGCCTCTTCCCCGGAAATCTGCAAGGCAGAAATGCAAACTAGTAAGGCCAGCAGAATAATGGAAAGTCTCCTTAATGCCAGGCAGAAGATTAATAGCATGCAGATGCTGTTAAAGGCTGACCCACCTCCTCCTAAGGGACGAGAGTCCTCTGGTCTGGGCTCATTGCACTGATTGCAAGAATTCCTTCGAGCAAAGTTCATATTTCCACATGACCTGAGAAAGGAGGAAAATAAAATGCTCAATAGTTTCCAATGGATTCAGAACCCCCTCTTGTACCTTCCAACCCCAATCCCAACTCTTACATCTACCAAAATAAATGGTATACTTACGGATTAGGGCAAACCCAGTCCCCACTTTTGGGGTCTCCACCTCTCCCCTGAAAGCCTCCACGGCCTCTATATCCTCCACGGCCTGGGGGAAGTAAGGAGTGGGGAGGATCAGTAGCAGACATTAACAAAGCAGAGGAAAACCAACAGACGAAAGAACTAAGAGCAAGTGTTCATCAATAACTGGGCAGCCCCCCCCCCAATTAACCCCTTACGGCAGGACTCCATGATTCTTTGATTTGGGGCTTTACTTATTTAGTCAATGCAGGAGATGTGGAAGAAGACCCCAAGGCACACATTAAAGTGCAAATAATGCACTAAAAAACTTCAAAGTCCATTTTCTATAATGCCCTCCTTAGTTTGAGAATCTCAGGGATAAAGGTTAAGTGAGAAGACATATTCCAAATTTAAGGAATTAGACACAACGGAAATGAAAGAGTTACAAGTAACTATCAACATATCAGGGAACTCCCAAACTGGTCAGATTAACTACCTAATTAGGTATCATTTAAACAACTACTTCCTAATGTCCAGGTGAATAACAAACTGCTTTATATAGCTTTCCAAAGAGATTTCTGGAACCTTCTTCCACCACTTTCTTAGCTATTACGACACCTTATTTACCTAATCTCCTATTCTGTACCTCACTTTTAAGATAGAAGGAAAAAGACCGACAGGGAGAGAGAAGTAGTAGCAAGTTCACACAACAGGGACAGAACATAGACTCAAATCCAAACCTTCTGTGTTAATACCCAGGCCTGTGAGCAATAAGTATTTTACCTCGTCGCCCACCTCCACTTCCACCTCCTCTCATGAATTCAGGTCTTCTGGTGGCAAAGGACACTTTAATGATGTTGCCATGGAATTCTTTTCCTAAAAAAAAAAAAGAAATGGTTTTTGCAGAAATGCTATTCTACATCTCCACCTCTCAAAAATATAAAACTTACAAATTTTTAGTTTCAGAGGAATAACTGACATATCCTCACAGAAATTCAAACACACTAGTGTTCCAAAGAGTCAAGGTAACTGTACTAGAACATGACACAATCTACTCAATAGAGCAGATCTGTCACAAGGAGACAGTCATTTCTTACTAAACAAAAAAACAAAAAAAAACAAACAAAAAAAACCCATCTAAAATTTTACATGAAAAAAGCCAACTACAGAACAATATGTAGTATGCTACCATTTCTTTTTTTTAAAGGGAATGAGTGTGTATGTGCATGCATGTGCACACATATGCCTGTCTATACACTGCCTATTGTGCTTAACTCTCAGTAGGTGAAAAGGTGGAAAGGAAACTCATTTTTTACTATATACTCTTGGTACCGTTTGAGATGTTTTTTACCTTAGACAAGTAGTATCTTTAAAAATAATGTGTGCAGGGCTTCCCTGGTGGCGCAGTGGTTGAGAGTCCACCTGCCGATGCAGGGGACATGGGTTCGTGCCCCGGTCCGGGAAGATCCCACATGCCGCAGAGCGGCTGGGCCCGTGAGCCATGGCCGCTGAGCCTCCGCGTCCAGAGCCTGTGCTCCACAACGGGAGAGGCCACAACAGTGAGAGGCCCACATACCGCAAAAAACAAAAAAAAAAGTGTGCATATGTGATTACTTATATACATGCATACATACACATATTCTGCTGCCCCAGGGCCTTAGAGACAGAAATTTTCAATTTATATTAAATAAGAGAACTGACATATAAGGAAAAGGTGCCCAAGGAGTCATAAAATAGTTAGAAATCCAGGAGTCTTAGCACTCTCACCAAAGTCCTAATTGTTGTGACTGGCAACCTTCCACAATGTCAGATGGTATGACAAGCACTTTTAAATAAGAAACCCATGGATCACTATTTTAAAAGCTGTAAAAAGACCTGGTGAAAGCTGAACTATGGAGTTACTGTTAAGAGGCTCATTTGCCCTATGGGGGAAAGGCACAATAATTTTTTAACATATCATAAGCTATGACAGTTTTATGATTCACAGAAACTATGACACAAGCAGAAAAGTGAGGGAGAATGGACCTAGCCTTCAAGAGCAAGGTGATGGGGCCTGATTAGGGCAAAAAAGTAAAGAAAATGGAGGGGAAGACAGAGTTTTCATAACCTCATCTGTGAAGAAGTAAAGAAATGCAATTATGTCTTGCAAGACAAAGGTGCAATAATCTTGGAACTGGAAGGGACCACAAGTGCCTGTCAATCCAGCATAGTTTAGCAATTCACAGACAATGGTGCTAGACTGCCTGAGTTTAAGTCCTGACCCTGCCACTTATTCTGTGGTCTTGGAAATTATTTATCTTCTCTGTGCCTGAGTTTAATCATCTGTAAAATGGTAATAAAAGGGTACATTTTATAGGGTTACTGTGAAGATCAAACTGAGTTAATGCACACAAAGTTCTTAGAACCATGCCTAGCTCATAAACCACAGTAAACATGCAGTAAGTGTTAGTTATTATTAAATTAGGGTACAACAAAAACAGTGAATTTATAATAACATGGGGAAATGACTACGTTAAGACGTTAAGTGAAAAAAAGCATGAGACAAAACTACATTTGGAGTATAATGATAAACTATTTTAAAAAACTGGAAGGAAGGGGCTTCCCTGCCCCTACTGTGGTGGCACAGTAGTTGAGAATCCTCCTGCCAATGCAGGGGACACGGGTTCAAGCCGTGGTCCAGGAAGATCCCACATGCTGCGGAGCAACTAAGCCCGTGCACCACAACTACTGAGCCTGTGCTCTAGAGCCCACGAGCCACAACTACTGAGCTCGCCTGCCACAACTACTGAAGCCAACATGCCTAGAGCCCATGCTCCACAACAAGAGAAGCCACCACAATGAGAAGCCCACACACCAAAACGAAGAGTAGCCCTGCTCGCTGCAACTAGAGAAAAAAAGCCCGCGCACAGCAACAAAGACCCAACACAGCCAAAAATTTATTTATTTATTTATTTATTTTTAAAAACTAACTGGAAGGAAAAGTTAATACCAGTAGTTGTCTCTATGTAGAGAACTATGGATGCTTTATTCCTTTCTTCTACTCTCCCATATTTTCTTATTTTCAGGGGGAAAAAAAGTCTTACTGTTTCTTCTAAGTATATATTAAGATTATATTTTAAGGGAAATTAACCTAAATTTAAAAAGAATATAGTCAACCAGGCCAACCCTCTACATCTCTATCAGGGTGGCCTTAAGCACAAAGCATGACATAAGGAAATATTTTAGACAGAGTTCATCTCATTTCTAAAGGTATGTAAAAACTCTGGCCTGTATTCTCAATAGAATATCTAAAAAAGTAAACATGAAGATAATCACCGTCTAAGAGAACATATTTTGACTTCAATACTAGAAAACATTTATCCAAACCACACGTTGAAACGATATGAATGAGGGACTTCCCTGGTGGCACAATGGATAAGACTCTGCACTCCCAATGCACAGGGCCCAGGTTCGATCCCTGGTCAGGGAACTAGATCCCACATGCATGCCGCAACTAAGGAGCCCACGTGCCGCAACTAAGGAGCCCTGGAGCTGCAACTAAGGAGCCTGCCTGCTTCAACTAAGGAGCCGGCAAGTTCAACTAAGGAGCCCGCCTGCCACAACCAAGAGCCGGCACAACCAAATAAATAAATATTAAATAAAAGAAACTATACGAATGAGGTATACCATCAAACCAGTCAATGGCTGCCTTAGCTGAAGGAGGGTCATCAAATGATACTGTTGCCTCCCCTTTTGGCTTTCCTGTGTCCTTGTCTGTGTACAGATTTATCATTGGTTTTCCAGTCTTCTTATTTGTCTGAGGAACAAACAAGTGGGTGTCAGTATTTTAAGAAAAAGTGATCATGAACCACATAGATAATTAAAATTTTATTTTTTAAAGGAATTTACATATCCATACAATAAATACTATCAGCTTAACATAAAAATGAAATTATCTGTAGGTTCTGAAAAGGAAAACTCTCTAAAATACATTAAGTGAAAAACAAACTAAAAAAATGATACACAGTATATAGTTTTATCCACGTATAATTTCTTTAAACCCACAAAAAAGAAAACATAGATGATACTTCATATAAATATATACCTTGTAAAACTTAAAAAAAAAAAAAAAAAGACCAGGAAGAATGTTCACCAAGCAAATAAATAAATTACCATTAAGGCGTACACACTGGATTTTGCTGAGAAGGGAGTGGAAGACAAGAACTGTGTGAATTTTTTACATATTTCATGTGTAATTAATAATTTCTAAAGAAATTTTTACTCTCCAAGAAGGAGGAAAAAAAAGTAATTCCACGGACACCAAAACAAGAGCAACTGCAAACTGATATCAGGCAAATGCTTCAATCTACTAACACTAATCTAAATGCTTTCTAGTTGGAGATGAAAATATATGCATGAAACAAACAGTGCATAGGACACTTAAGTACAATAAAGTTATGAAATAAAGCATTATTATATTGGGCAAATATATAGCAGACATTAAATACCAACATAAAAAGTTGTTAGTAATAACTTGGGTTTTCATATGTTGGCATTTTAGAATATAAAAATGTTTTCACAATTTCATTTGGTTCTCACAATTTTAGGAGCTAGGCAGAGACTATGTTTAGAGTCCTAAGATTGAAAGCCAAAGCTGTGGAAGGCTGTGGAAAGGTACACACAAGCGAGGAATAAAATCTTCATGTATTTTAGCAAATTTAGCAAAGGCCTACAGACATGGGTGAGCATGTGCATCAGGGAACTTTAAGAGACAAGCCTTACTGGAGTATGGGCTTATTATGTAACCTATGTATCTTAACCAGAATATGTTGATAATTATGAGATTTTCAACATAAGCCAATTTTTTACTCACCTTGATAATTCCTATTTGTTTAAAGAACTCCCCCACTTGATCTGTAGACACACCCTCCCCAAGTCCTTGTACAAAGATTGTGTTGTTATCTGAATTATCAGATTCTGAATCTATGGGGGAAAAAAAAACCATGATTAATTTTACATATTCCTTAGGTTTACTACATCCTATTTAGTAATCAAGAATAATAATTTATTATTCAATATTCAACTATTTCTGTGACCAAAAGGAAAAAGGACCAATATACGAAACCTCTTAGATAAACATGCAAAGTGGTCATAACAGTTATTTTGGTAGGTCAGTTCTCACAACTAAACTTCACGTAAAGTGGATCAAGTCCACACTATGTCAAATACATAGACCAATTAAGGGAGATCTTACAAATCTCACTCTTCAGATTCAGATACAGGACTCAAGCTCAGGAAGAGATGAAGAAAGTTAGTATAAAGTAGCATTCCTTTCTTTGGAGAGTTTTAATTCTTTCTGGCTAATCAATACTTTTAAAGCTTTCTAGTAGAAAATTGCCCAAATCTGACCCTTTGAACTTCCAAGCAAGCCAAGCAGAATTGCTGGTTTCCCATTCATTGCAATAAGCTTTATATACACCAGAGGGTAGGGGCACCTTGACACACACCTTACCTTATTACATGCACACTTTTGGATTAGTATAACAAAATAAGAAAGATGCACATAAATTCAGCCTATCAAGGGATAATTCAGAAATTGCCATCCATATAGAATACTTTAGCATCTTAATAAAAACAAAAGTTCTGATTTCAATATATACAACTACTGAGCCTGTGCTCTAGAGCCCGTGAGTCACAACTACTGAGCCCGTGTGCCACAACTACTGAAGCCCACACACCTAGAGCCCATGCTCCACAACAAGAGAAGCCACTGCAATGAGAAGCCCGTGCACCGCAACAAAGAGTAGCCCCTGCTCGCCGCAACTAGAGAAAGCCAGCGCACAGCAAGAAAGACCCAATGCAACCAAAAATAAATAAATAATTAATTAATTAATTTAAAAAAATTTTTGGCTCAAATAGATTTTTAATCTCTACGTAACTTTCAAAAGGCTCCAGGCAGCCTTGAATTTCATTTGAAAATATAAAGGCACATGAAATTAGTGACTTCTGAGGACTTCCCTGGTGGCACATTGGTTAAGAATCTGCCTGCCAATGCAGGCAACACGGGTTCGATCCCTGGTCGGGGAAGATCCCACATGCCGTGGAGCAACTAAGCCTATGCGCCACAACTACTGAGCCTGCACTCTAGAGTCCGAGCCACAACTACAGAGCCCACGTGCCGCAACTACTGAAGCCCGCGCACCTAGAGCCCCTGGTCCGCAAGAAGAGAAGGCACTGTGATGAGAAGCCCGTGCACTGCAACAATGAGTAGCCCCTGCTCGCCACAGCTAGAGAAAGCCCACGTGCAGCAACCAAGACCCAACACAGCCAAAAAAAAAAAAAAAAAAAAAAGGCATATGTAGAAAGAAAGATGTTATGTAAAAAAAAAAAAAAAAAAAAAAAAAAAAGAAAAGAAAAGAAAAGAAATTAGTGACCTCTGCCCAGAGTAAGACAATTCTCTCATATATGAATTCAGGTTTCTTAGGCCCACTGACCAGACTATCAATCCATTGTAATATTTTCTTAAACACAGCTATTCTACTTCTAATTCCCCAATCATACCAATTCTCTCATACTTGATTTGCAGTAATTAAACAAATAATGCTAATTAGCAGTACAAAATCAAGTATTTCTTCACAAAAGAAAAAGTAGAGAGCATGGGAAAGCACAAACATAGCAATTTTTCCTAGCAAACTTTCCAATCAATCCCCCTGAACTTTTCTTGCTGGTACATCTTTAGAAGTGAAGCTCCCTGGTTCTGGCAGCATTATCAAATCAAATCTTCCTCCTGTACTAACTCCTCCAAACACACACACTTTTCCTTTGAAAAAATGGAAAACTAACATTCTCTTAATGGAAGAGTCACAAACTACCATAAACCTTACCAGCATCTGGTCTGGGTCCATAATCCCTGTGACCTAAGGGAAAAGAAAAAGAAAAAGAAAAAGAAAGCTATTTAAGGCAACTCATAAGAAATCATTTAAAAACAGTAATAATAACCAAGGCATGAAAAGTCAATACTTCCAAAATCCTTGTAAGTAACCATCACAGATTTACAAAGTAAGTATATAAATTAAGTTTTATTAAAAGTTTAAGAAATCAAGATGAATGTCAATATTCCCTTAAACTTGTCCCAGACGGCACCAGCCACTTTGGCATTACGCTAGTATCACTTTTGTTAAGCTCTGGTTGTGAAGGCCGATTGGAAAACCCTAATAATTTAAAAACACCATGTCAGCTACCTTTATTAAAAAACATATTGACAAAATCCAGTGAAGGTCTCATTCATTGGTCACCAGACTCTTTCATGCAAATTCACTGTGTAGAAACCCATTGGACTGTTTGAGATCAACTTTGTCTTTTTAATATTTTGAGATATATATATGCATATATATAATTTTTTTTTAAGCACACAACACACACCAGCCTCAACAGAGTAAGAAAGGGCTTAGACTACGTCTGCGGGATATTGGTGGCTTTTAGGTTTATATAGCATTTCCACTGAAACATTTTGGGATACTCAGCACTTACCACCAAAATTTTTGAAGCCACCGCGGTCACCACCACTGCAGAGGAAAAATTGAAGAAATGATTTCTTCCTTAGGTCTCTAATGTGCTGAGCCCTGGGCTCAATCTATACTTAACTGTCACAAGTAGAGCGCCCAGGAAAACAGTAGCACTTCTAACTTTCCAGTAAATTTCATTTCACAGACTTCAAAATGTTGTTTTCACCTAAATGTTTCCCCAAGGATCTATTTCCACAAGGGTGCCTTTTCAAGCTTATTACAGAACATACCTAATATACTCTTATTTTAAAATTTTCCCAACCCCAAGCCAAAGGGATAATATTCAAATCCACTTAAACTGGAGGCACAAGAGGAAGAATGCTAAACATTCTTTCCAAGGGGAAAGAAATCATTTAAAAACAGTAATAATAACCAAGGCATGAAAAGTCAATGGGACAAAGTGAGAGTGTGGCGTGTACACATATACACTACCAAATGTAAAACCGGAAAAAAAAAAAGTAAAACCGATAGCTAGTGGGAAGCAGCCGCATAGCACAGGGAGATCAGCTCAGTGCTTTGTGACCACCTAGAGGGGTGGGATAGGGAGGCTGGGAGGGAGGGAGATGCAAGAGGGAAGAGATATGGGGATATATGTATAGCTGATTCACTTTGTTATAAAGCAGAAACTAACATACCATTGTAAAGTAATTATACTCCAATAAAGATGTTAAAAAAAAATTTCCAAAATCCTTGTAACCATCACAGATTCACAAAGTAAATATATAAATTAAGTTTTATTAAAAGTTTAAGAATTCAAGATGAATATCAATATTCCCTTAAAGGGAAATATTTTTGTTAAAGGGGATATTTTTGTTAAATATGAGAAAAAGACTAGAAGAAAAATATAAAGCAAGATTAAAATTTTGATAGCAGAATGGGAGAGGTAAAAACTTGAGCACTACGTTCTACTGTGATACCAAATGGTGGGTTTTATGAGATGAAGAAAAAAGTGAGGTACAAATATACACAAAAGTGAGACTGAATGAAAGCGGTCTTAAAAATTCAAATCATTCAGATATCTGGTAAAATGAGCACTAAAAGAAAGCATAACTTTAAACTGCCCTCCTATTCCATGCCCACTGCAACATGCTAGCTCTCTTCACAGCAGAGCTACTGACACTCATGCTGCCAAATGCTCTTGTACACCAATCAGTAGACCATATCAGAGACAGAATGCTACATACTCCACAAGAAAATGACTTTATTTGGCAATTTCCACTGCCAGGTAAGTCAATGGCCCATGTGTGCATAGCTTTATGTAAGAAATCTAAGATCTCTCTTATCAAGAAACTCTAAATGCTCATACATTGAAAGCTTGTTTCTCTTAACTCAATTATGTAATCCTCTAAGATTCATGTGCTGACATGGATACAAAAACACCCAAAATTTTCAGATGGTGATATCTAATTTTCTACAACTACTAATCTTCCACTATAACCCAAGAAACTAATCCAATATACTAATGTCTCTTCACTGCTTAAAAGCCTCTGCTTTAGTAATAACCCTGGCCCTCTAGATGGCTTTTCTTGAGCCATCCTGAGAAAAACCACTCTGACTAAATGAGAAAGAATTTTTTCTTTAGAAGTCTATTCTACTACCTTGACGTAAAAAAAAATTCCCTTGCAACTAGCATAGGTATGGACACACGCAACTTAACTTGCCATTAATTTTTATTTGATGCCCAAGAAATCTAAAAAGGAGAATAACAATATTTCAAGGCTATGCAGACAAAGCAAAGCTCAGGTCTTTCATATACACAGTTTCCTACTGAGTGTCTAAGACCTCTCTTTCAGAACATCACCCAAGCCCTCCCACCAACCCATACTTCTAAATGGCCTATATATCATAGCTCAACTCTTTAAGGAAAGGAAGCTAAACAGAGTTCTGAGATTAAATTGCTAAAAATCTTATTAGAAACAAGATATCTCAGGTTTCTTCAAAGATGATCATTAGAATTCTAAAAATGATGAAAAAAGAGCTAGTGAAAATATTAAATCAGGCTTCCCTGATGGCGCAGTGGTTAAGAATCCGCCTGCCAATGCAGGGGACAGGGGGTTTGAGCCCTGGTCCAGGAAGATCCTCCATGCTGCGGAGCAACTAAGCCTGTGTGCTACAACTACTGAGCCTGCGCTCTAGAGCCTGCGAGCCACAACTACTGAAGCCCACACACCAAGAGCCCGTGCTCTGCAACAAGAGAAGCCACCGCAGTGAGAAGCCCGCGCACCTCAACAAAGAGTAGCCCCCGCTCGCTGCAACTAGAGAAAGCCCGCGTGCAGCAACAAAGACCCGATGCAGCCAAAAATAAATAAAATTTAAAAAAAAAAAGAATATATTAAACCCACATTCCTATGTCAGGATGTTAAAGTACCCAGGATAAAGTATTTTTTTTTAAATAGGATATTTTCACAATTAAGTGCTGGAAGAGGCACCACTTAATTATTCTGCTGCCAACTTAACCAAGTACCAAATTGTTTATCTGACCACAATGGAGGAAAAATATGCAATTTCATATATCAAGTAGTTCCTAAAATTTCTATTCTGGCCAGCAATATAACTTTGAACAATTTTTTAAAAAAAGGACATACCCTTGGTAAAATATAAAGGATATAAAACAAATGACACTTGAATACGTTTATAATTTCCTATTCCTCCATATAATGGCATTTTAACTTAAGTCATCATTACTGAGCATTTCCTTTGAAAATTCAGCAGCTGAACACTTCTAACACAATGGCCGTAAATATGGAAACACCCATAAGTACATTCGAAAAAGTACTAGTCTTCAAAGTAGGAGTCTCAGGGTATAGTCTTAACTATCACTAATCAATCTTGAAAATTTGGACAAGTCAGTAATTCTCCCTAGGCTTCAGTTTCCTCCTTCGCAAAATAATGGTCTACACCCTTACTACCTGAAAGGTGGTCTATGGAATAGCAGCAAAGGCAGAGCCTGGGAGTATCTCAGAAAAGCAAGCTCATCCCAGACCTACTAAATCAGAATCTGCATTTTAGTAAGATCCCCAAGGAATTCTTATGTACATTACAGTTAGAGAAGCACTGGTCTAGATGACCTATAATTTTATGTGAGGCTTTCTTTCAAGTTCCAATGTTTCAGTCGCTTTTGTCTTTCTTTATTAAGAAATTTCATATTAATTAATTACAGTTCCTTACTAGGAAATTTATTATATTAAACACAGTAAATAAACCTCAAATAGTACCACTATTAAATCAGTTAACAGAAGATGGGCCTGTGGTTAAGAATCTTTCTTCAAATCTGCAGTCAAGTTACATGTCCCTTTTCCATAAACTAAGTTAAGGCCCCACTAGCAAATTAAGACACAAAGGCATGTGAACATCTGAGTCAAGATGTTGCCACAACAAATTTGTTTTCCTCCCAGAAAAAGAAGCAAACTTGTACACAAAGAATTTCTGAAGTAAGGACATTTTAATGTAAAGAAGTAGAGGTATTTACTAGAGACATAATATAAGAATACTCAAAATTTATGGCTGAGTGCCCCCTGCATAAGAAAATCAATTGTATATTCTTGACTCAACTACAGAAATCGTTGTCCCAAGTTCAAAACCACAATGAGCAGCCTACTCTAGGGTAGACTCTGAGGGTTCTTTCACTGTTACAGCATTACATATTTAGAGATGACAGTCAGATTTAATTTCAGGTGCTTGTCAAGAAAGAAAATATACTTTGACAGAATCTCTATTCCCAAAATTTAATTTTTAAAAATCCAAATATATCTATATTCAAGGACTAAAACTGCCAAGAAGTAAAAGGACAATATAGGAATCTTTATTCCCAGAAAATTCAATACACAGAGAGAAAAAGGAACTTAGCTAAATATTGAAAAAGATTAGTTTTTTAAAAACTGTTCTGTGTTTGATTTTCCACACTAGTAATTTACCAACATTTCAGAAGGCCAAGAATCTACCATTCTAGAGCTGCACTATCCAATACAACATTTACTAGCCATATGTGACTGCTGACCTTTAGAAATATGGAGAGTCTAAATTGAGATGTACTCTAAATGTAAAATACAAAATGGATTTCAAAGTCTTAGTATAAAAAAAAGAATGTGCATTATCGCAATAATTTTTATACTGATTACATATTTGTGATATGTTAGATTAAATAAAATATATTATCAAAATTAACTTCAGTTGTTTATTTTTCTTAATGTGGCTATTAGAAAATTTTACATTACACATATGGCTCACAGTTGACCCACATTATATTTATATTGGGCAGCACTGGCTGGACTATCACCAGCACACATGCACATTTTTAAGAGAGCTATTCAAAAACTCTTATGAGGGCTTCCCTGGTGGCGCAGTGGTTGAGAGTCCGCCTGCCGATGCAGGGGACACGGGTTCGAGCCCCGGTCTGGGAAGATCCCACATGCCACGGAGCGCCTGGGCCCGTGAGCCATGGCTGCTGAGCCTGCGCATCCGGAGCCTGTGCTCCTCAACGGGAGAGGCCGCAACAGTGAGAGGCCCGCGTACCGCAAAAACAAACAAACAAACAAAAAAACTCTTATAAGAAGACATTCAAAATTTAAGGTAACTTTTTGAGACTTGAGATATTAAAGCCTAAAAAAATCGACTTAACTTGATGACATGCTAATAATGGAAAATGGTTATCTATAAAGTTCTAGTAATTTTGCAATGTATTCAGCACAATGCTAAAGTTAAAAACACTGAGAAAATTTATGGCCTTAACCTTCTAGTCCAGTAGGAGGCCACTGATCTATTTTAGATGACAATTAGAAATTCAATCTTTTTTGCTACAACTGCTTTTTCAAAGAAAAACACTGTTTCCTATAGTCCCTATAGTCTTCACGTTTCTCTTCCAAAATTGGAAAGCCGACAGCTTCCTTTGGTCTGAATTCTTCCTGCAGTCAAGCAATCATACAACTTGAGTCTAAGAATGTCATATCCTTTACCGCACATCCCACCTTCACCTGCAAACTGTGCCCCTTCTTTAATTATAAACCCAACTAATGCCAGATATTCTTCAAACAGCCCTGAAAGGATCACATTTTCAACCTTGCTATTTTTAAGTAAGATGATTACAAACACAAATGGGAGTGTTGATGAAGACTAACAAAAAATGTTTGGGTACTTCTGGTACTTAAATGTAAAACCAAGTGTAGGGGGAAAAAAAGCCCTGAAACTGGGATTTTTTTTTTTTTTAATTTGAAACACTTCACCCCTATAAATAAGCTAAAAATCACATCCTGAACAAGATATTGTGGCACATGAAAATTATATGAACTTCGTATTTCAGTATCCATAAATGAAGTTTTATTGGAACACAACCATGTTTATTCATTTATACAGGAGCAGAGCTGAGCAGTTGCAAAAGAAACCGCATGGCCTGCAAAGCCTTTCACATAAAAAGTTTGCCCATCCAATATAGAGAATAAGTATAATCATTCACATAAATTTCTTAAAAAGGCCTTTCATGCACATTCCATTTACTGGCTAAGGGGGTGGGGTGGGGGGAGGGAGGGAGTATACAGACAGCAACTGGGTAAGACCTCTCCCCCAAAAACCCTACCCTGACTTGAACCAGATCACCATCATTTTGACCTAATATATCCTGGGCTTCTACACAAGATTTTGTTTGAAAAGGTTCTAAAGTTAAATAAAAAGATTTGAAACTCAAAAACTTAGTTCATGATTCAGTACCTGGGCCAAAAATTATACTGAAATGTTGCCAAAGAGGTTTATCAAAGTGCTTAAAACTGGTACGCCCAGGGTTGGTTAAGATACAGATTTTCCCTCTTTTAGCAGGAGGATCACTCAAGGTCCTTTCAACTCTGATTCTAAGATAAGTCATCTCTCAAAAACGAAAACATACTTTTAAAGACTTCCCTACCCTCCTCCTCCTGAAAAGTGAGGTTCTACCATTCTCAGTCAGACACTGTCATAGTTTCAGAGATAATCTATAGATATAATTATAACTTCCTTATGAAGAAAATTAAACCTATGATATGCTGTAAAATGTATAGCATCCCAAGGCAGCCAATTATCTAAAACATATTAACCAGAAAATCACATATACCTGTTAGTTATCTTGTTTGGGATTCTGTTTGAGGGAGGGAGGCTATTAGGTAGAGAGTAAGCACCATACCACTCTACGTTGTTCACTTGCATCCACATGATAATGAAGAGGCATACAATATACTTGTTTTACCTTAATAAATTGACTTCAGCTATCAATCAAGACATTTAATGTTCAAGTCTTATAAAAATTTATCAAATATGTTTAGACTTTAGATTTGCCAGACCAAAGCACTATACACTCAACAGAGAGAAAGTCAATGAGATCAAATTCCTGGCTCACTTGAAAAATTAACAGTGCTGTACATAACTGATTTTCTCAGGTCATTTCAGGGAACAGACAAACAGTCCCTAAGAAGCAAAAGAGTGACCTGGTATTGATATAACATTGTCAGTTAACAGGCTGACAATTTCAATTCCCAAGGAACACAAATTATCTTTTAAGCCTGTATATTTTACACACGAAATGTGCAACCTACAAACCTCATCTGAGAACAATAAATGCCAATTACTTTTTCATTCCTATTTTTAGAGCAAAAGCACTAGACTTACACATATATTTGAAAGTAATTTTAAAGCCATCTTTCATAACATATGCCATAAATACCAAAACCTGATAACACTAACAATGGAGAAAAGGAAAGCTGAATTAAAGTCATTCCTTTTCCACAGCTTAGTCTAGACAAAATATGCAATGGTATATGACATTGCACTAATTATCTCAATAATCGTTTACTTAAGAAAGGGGACAAAATAGTTCAGTTACATAAAATCTTTCTCTCATTTGCCAACCCCAAATTTATAATCTGCTATTGCCTCCTAATATTTTCCCTTCCCAAGGGGATTCAAGATTAAAGAACAGCCTCTCCACCTTCCAATCTAGAATTAACTTACCTTGTATTTTCTACATATAAAACACTTGGATTTCCCAGAGTCATCTTTTAAAGGAGTTTAGAGTCAATAGCTCTGGCAGGAAAAACATAGTTAAGTGGTTTAACCACACCATAGTACGGGACTTTTCTCCATTGGTATTTAATATATACCACATAAACTGACGGCTAACAAAGCCTATTTTGAGGTAATTTATGTGACATCTTAAGACTGAAAACAAATTTTGAATTTCTATCCTCTTCTCTACAACATAATCTCTTTTTTAGGCCTCTTAACTAAATCAGATGATGGAATCGAACCAGCTAAGTAACAACAACAACAACAAAAAGAGAGAGAAGAAATGTAGACATCTGTACCTAAAAACTTACCTTGATCCTGTCATAGGACCTCTTCCATCCTTGTCATATCCCCCACGCCCTCTACCTCCTCCCTGTGACCCGCCATATCCTCTATTATCTTCTCCATACCTACTCACATCACGACGGTCATCTACAAAAAAGAAAATTAATACATACATACATAAACAACTTGAAATTTCTGACAAAGGCTTTCCACAACATAATATTAAACAGCTCTGTAGGTCACCTGTGACCTTCAGAAAATGGCACATGTGCACAAAACTCAAGTGCAAGTCATCATAACACCATCTGAAATTAAATGTATGAGACTTATATGTGTGTCAAATTCCATTCTACCAAAGTCAGACAGCAAAATGATGATGTGGATATCACCATTTGATGTGATGGTAATATGGAGTAGTTTGAGTAAAGTACATTAGGTACAGAACTCTAATAAATTAAAAGAATACCCTGATCTTAGGGACTTCCCTGGTGGCACAGTGGTTAAGGCTCATGCTCCCAATGCAGGGGGCCCGGGTTCGATCCCTGGTCGGGGAACTAGATCCCACATGCATGCCGCAACCAGGAGTTCACATACCACAACTAGGGAGCTGGCAAGCCACAACTGGGGAGCCCACCTGCCACAACTAAGGAGCCCGCAAGCTGCAACTAAGACCTGGTACAACCAAATCAATCAATCAATAAATACTTTAAAAGAATACACTAATCTTAAAAGTTATTTTTCATGTCGAAAATATTTCAGTGTAAATCAAACACAGACAAGGAATAACTAGATTTTCAAACTGAGAGATATTCAGTGAATATATTCAATGAAGAAGATATTCAGTGAATGAGCTTCCACTCTTACTCATTCACTTATTCATTCATTCAACTATTCAACAAATATTTATCGAGCAGGTACAAAAATGAGTAAGGCAGGACCTTTGCCCTTGAAGCATTCATTTTTATGGCTGATCAGATTCCTAAATATCATGATATATATAAAATGATATATATAAAAGAAAGAATGACTGGTCCTTCTTAGTTGAGGTTAGAGAAGGCGAATATAGGATCATAATTTCCTCAAATCACATATAGCACCGGTACCAAGATAACTGGTAACATGGACTTCCCTGGAGGTCCAGTGGTTAAGACTCCGTGCTTCCAGTACAGGGGGCACAGGTTCGATCCCTGGTCAGAGAACTAAGATCCCACGTGCCGCACAGTGCATAAAAAATGTTTAAAAATTAAATTAAATTATAAAAAAGAACTGGTAGCAGCAGCATTGTCAAACGATCAGTTGACTGAGACAACAAAGGAAATTCAAAAACTCAGCCAGCAAAAAATCACGTGACCATTTGGAGTCTCCAAGAAGTTCAGAAATATCAATCTAATAAACTAGTTGTGATGGACATGAGACAGAACATATGTTCAGGGTGACTCTGAATTCTTACAAACAGTTGAAATCCTCTGTGGGTCTTTTAATACAGAATTCAACACACAATTCTATGAAGGGAAGAAAGGAAAAATAATAGAGGTCAGCATATCTTACCTTGTGTGTGGTGGCTGTAATTTTCCCTTTGTGAATGGTAGGATTGCTGGTTTTGATTATAGGAATCATGCTGCTGATCATAATTTGACTGCTCGGCATAAGAGCCGTGATGTTGATCATAGCCTGACTGCTGGTCATATGAATCTTGTTGACCATAGTCTGACTGGTCATATGAAGGCGCTCTTCCACCTTGGCTAAACAGAAATCAAGAACTTGAGCGATTTTACAGAAGGACTGTTTACTGCAGCAGGCTGACTGAGACTGATTGCTGTAAGAGGCCTGCCCAGCTAGACCTCATTCACATTTACTACCCTTTTCTGGTAGGAATCATTTAGCTCTTTTATCTACAGAATCTTACCACCAATGGAATGACTTTCAAACAACAGTTCTACTATCACTGAAGAGGTGTCACATTATGAGAAAAAACACACACACTTTTGAAAACTGTAGAGAAGCAAGAAAATCACTATGGTTTTTATCATCTCCTTGAATTAAAAAAAAATTAAAGATGACATAAAGTACAGTAATATGTCTGACTCTTTAACAAACATGACACAGCAAGTGCTGACTCCTTTTAATAGTTACACTAAAAGGCTCTATCTCCGTTTTAACAACAATATTATTTAATAATATTTTGGGGACTATTTTCTTATCTTTAGAACCTTATCTTTAGTACATTCTTCTAAGCATTTTCAATAATAGTAAATTTTAGAAAATAGCAATAAATCATTCAAAGTTTTAATCTGCTGAGTAAGAGGAAGGAACTTGCTTTGTGATGCCATTTTTTAACTGAAACAAAGTCTAACTACTAAATGAGACTGCTTTATTTTCTCTTGCAATTCAAAAAGAAAATTCTAAGTATGTTCTGAGCAATATGACTATTAATTACCTACTCTCAGGATGGGAATGTTGAAAGAAACACTTAATTGGATTTGAGTTCTAATGTTTACTCAAAAAAAAAGGTCGGGGGGGGGGGGCAAAAATGGCCTCACAACTTAATAGTCACATCTTACTCTGCATCAAATGATCAAAACAATCTAATAAAGATCGGTTCCCCAACTCCCTACCCAAAGCACATCACAAAGGTCAGAACCCTAGACCTTCACTTTAGAATAACTGTCAAACCAAATCTAACATTTCTCTTTGGTCCACATTTATACGTCACATTACCAAAAATGCATCCTCATGAAAAAATTCTCCTTAAATTTAAAACTAACCAGGCTTGAAGAGCCTTCTAATGTAACACGCTTTCTGGATAGTATTCCCTACATTTGTACTTTGTAAAGCACAGTAAAAAGTAAGTTGCTATTACTAAAATTAATAACAAGTACAGGCTCCTCAAATCAGAAAATTTTAAAAAAATATATAAGACCTGTAAAATTGCTAATATTCACCTACCTATATTAACAATTCAAACATTTTTTAGGGTATTTGAAATACGTGCATAGGTTTTGGCACTTTTTTCTTTAATATTTTTGCCCCTGAAAAGGACATTAAATACATTAAAATGGTTAAAAAATAAAATGGAAATGAAAAGTAAGCATTGATAAGTCTCCTTTTATAGGCAGGTTTTTATTTCATCTCAGGTATAAAGCAGAGGTTCAAATTTTACATTTTAACATTTAAATCATGTGCATTCATTTACAGCTAAACTAACTGTACAAATAACACATCGTAAGAATCAAATATCAATATTGACAATTTCCACATTCTTTATAATACAAAACTGTGAAATTCATACACCATCAACACTTTTCTGGAAAAAAGAAAAAAGTTTAAAGCTAGGACTTTGTTAGTGAAAGCTGTTTAATACCCAAAGTGTTATTTCCACTTCCCAACACCTCAGTACTTTTACTGTTTCCTTACCCTCCTGATGATTCCATGTTTTGCTGTGCCTGGTTATTATAAGATTGCTGGCCATATGAGCTCTGCTTTTGATTCTCATAACCACCATAGGACTGTGAATAACCTAAAGATTGAATAGATATACCATTTAGGAAAGGTTCTGATTTTAAATTTCTAAAACAGCAAATTTAACAAATCAGTCCAACCTGATTGGCTTTGTCCGTAACAGGAGTAGCCGCCATAGTTCTGCCCATATGAAGAATCAGTAGTTTGCCCATAGCCAGAATAGCTCTGAAATTTAGGTAAATACAAGTTTCATTGCATATTTAAGATTAAAACTATTTATAAAGAACTCAATTTATATTTAACCTACTTGTGGTGCTTGTCCATAACCTTGGTTGCCTTGATTTCCATAGGAAGAATAACTGTAAAAGAAAAGTGTACTACTTGAAAGAAATGTGCTAGAATTTAAAAGCTTAAATTAACCCTATCTTCATTTTCAACTTTCAACTCAAATACAAGCTTCTTTCCTGAGAAACTGTCGATCTAACTACCTCTTCGAGTCTAAACTGAAAGGTGATAACCAAAGATTGTCAAAGACATAAATAAAATCATTCCCAGACCTCTTAAATGCCAAACACACACCAGAAGTTTTGCTTTGACAATTTCCCACAAATAAAACTTCACCAGAGCTAGAAAATTCCAACAGAATTATGCTTGGATGGGTGGGAGGCTGGGGGTGGAGGGGAGTGACTACATGGTAGCAAGACCCATAATAAATATCTGAAGAAGAAAAATAATGACTCTTTAAGTTAGAGCTTTAATCAATTTAGCTGTGCTGTGACAGATTATTTTCTTCCTACCATTTGCCTTAAATTTGCCTCTAACATCCTAGAAAATGCACAGTGTGGCACTCAACATCCAATTGTTAGTGCCTCAGTAATGAGAGGCACGTATATCTTCAGAATACTATCATAGAACAAAAGTATATTGTATCTCCAGTGTCATAGCATAGGATGGCATAATTTGTTGACTGACTGAATGAATACATGCAGCTTTCTCGGAGTTGAACTTTCTTTAATTTTAGTGCATATAAGCTTTAACAAGTCAGAAACAAACTTTCTGAATATATACCAAAGAAAAATAAAACATATGCCAAAAAAAACTTACTATTTTAGAGCTATCAAGTGCTAACAGAATTTCTTAACTTTATAAAACATTTCATTGAATAAACATTTGCTAGTTGCCTACTATGAGGGTCTATCCCATGAGAATAAAAAAGTCAAATCAGTTTTGTTTTCATGAAGCTTAAAACTTGATGACAGAAGGTATCTGAGATGCTCTTCTGAATATCTCACACTGAGCTGCAAAACACTTATACTACAAGTTAAGGCTGTATTTCTGGTAAGCAAGAGAATCCTACTGCATGTATACATTCACATTTTAAAAACAGACTTTTCCTTTTATTGTGAGCATGGTGAGGATGATTTTAAAAATGCTAAACACTTCTATCATAGTGCTTCAAGAAAATCCACTCCAGAAAAAACACATTTAGCATATTATATACAGTCAAAAAAATTAAATGCTTTTTCTAAGCTGTTATAGTTCAACTACTTAAATCCTTTTAGTAATTGTTTCTTCTAAATAATTTCTTAAAGAAAACAATCTTTATAATACCTATGAGATTCATTTTAATCTCTAGGGGGCACCTATATTTACTGATTCAAACAGCCTTTTAAAAAAAGAAAAATATCTTACAGCACCTATGTACAAAGGCTGACTCCCTTCACAAGCTAAGATTTAACTCTTTTAAGACGTCAAGATACCAAAGCTTAAGAGGAAAGCCTGACTAAATTTATCTTTTTTTCTCAGTTCTACTCGTTCATGGTATTATTGAAATGTACGTATACTTTACCTTTGCTGCTCACCACCAGACTGACCGTAACTTCCAGAATCTAAAACACATAAAAAGAATTTTTTAATCTTATTTAAAATTAGGCTTCCCTCAAAGGCTGACTTTAGCTCTTACAGATGAAATGTGATAAGAAAATATCATAAACTACAGAAAGAAAAACTAGAAGTTAAAAATACAGTGCAAGGAAAAATCTGTGCCAATAGTATTAGCTATTTACAGTAACTACAGCTTTGAAAACAACTACTCTACAAACATGTCCTGATGGTCACAAAAACCAAGTGAACAAATGAGAAAGTCAGTGAAAAACCCATCCTTTCTACAAAACTCAAAAGCTCAAGTTATATTATCTTTATATAAAAAGATATCTGTTAAAAAAACTAATCAGGATCAAAAAGGGGAAAATGCACACTCTAAGATAAATCCCCAGGATTACATTTACTTCATATCCTTGCCAGCCTAACATATACACCATTCCCTTGGATTGGATTGGATTGCTTTGGCTGTCAGCAGCAACAAGAACATCTCCAAAGACTTGGTAAAAGCAGCTAACCCACTTGGTATATACCGACTCAGCAATACTTACCTCTAGCTTCCTTGTTGGCAATAAAAACTACCAAGGAAGGCATGATTTGAGTAATATACGTCAAAATAATAATAATAATTTGAACTGTGAACTTTTCTCAATACTTTAAAATGTCGGTTATTCCAAAAATTTTTGAAGAGGCTCTACCCTCTAGGCTTCTCCTCAGAGTCAAATGAATGACCTAATTTTATTAGTGATTGAGTAAGAGAAGAATATCATATGAAATACTCTTTCAACTGCAAAAATATGACTGATAGTCTTCAACTGCTATTAGGCCCAACCTCATCTAATCTGAATAAAACTATTTGTTGTTGAACAGTTATGAAAACCCGCCAAATATCAAATCACATCAATGACTTTTTCATTCAATTCATATAAAGCTACAATATGAAAACACTGTCACTGGCTGTATAAGTGGGTGATATCAAATTTGCCACTTGTCTACAGTAGAGATCTCCAGACTGAACAAGAATTTTTTTAATCCTTAACTACTAAAATATTGAATGAAATCCTGACACAAACTACTTCTTTTATGAATGTGGACATAAGGCTACCTGAGATGAAAAAAAAATTGTGCATCACTGCCCACAATAATAATATGACTAGATTTGTAACTAACCAAATAAGAAAAATATGAAAAGGATACAGAACCTAACTGGATCATAAAGAGATTAGATGCATCTATCAAATGGCAAAGGAAGTTAGTTTCAACCAATTCAGAAACTAAAAAGGATTACTGTGGGAGGAGGGGGGTGTATGAATAAAAAAATTTACATACACTGGGGATGCATGAAGCTTTAAGTTAAATTATATCCCAAGGCACTGACGTGGGTTCTCCCAGTGACAGAGTGGAGTCCAAGACCTTATTGTACTTTGGCTCAGGCAAAAATTATAGAAGTACACAGCACGTATGTCATATGACCCTGGCTTAAATCTAATAAGTATCAGAGCTCTTAACTCAGTCAACTTCAGCTCTCTGAAACTGTAAATCTGACTTCTTTAGCTGGCTGACTTTAAAACTCTAGAATATAGAAATAAGAGTACTGACCAACAAGTCGAGCTCTTAGTGAAAGTAGATGTTTTACATTCACCAGAGAAAATCAGTTTATAAATGTTATTTATGGCATTTTAAACAACTGCTCATTATGAGTACTTGACACTTGAGCCTTGTATCTGGGCCCATGAATTATTTAGAGGTGCTTTTATTTCCAAGTGTATAGGGTTTTGACACTCTTTGTGGTTTTGTCTTCTTATTCCATTGCAGCCAGAAAAGGTATTTTCTGTACTATTCCAGGTATTTGTTAGGATTTGCTGTTTTTTGCTTTTCCCCTTGGTAAACACTTCTACTTACATAAATGTCTCCTATGTGCTTGAAAAGAACTGTATTATCTAAATGTTGAAAGAATTCTGTAAATCCGTAAGATGATGCTTGTTAGTTCTATTATTCATATTCTTACTCATGTTTGGTCTACCTGATCTATTAACTACACAGAGAAGTATGTTTAAATTTTTTTTAATTCCCTGTTTGACTCTGTATTTGTCAATTTCTTTCACTGAGTGTTTTTTTGCTTTCTACACTTTGAGGCCATATTGTTAAAGCACATAAAAGTACATATTTACAGCTTCCTGGTGAATTTCCCTTTTTCTTTTTTTGAATTTCCTTTTAACATTACATGAAGACTATCATTAAAAATGTCCGAACTTTATTTTGACTGGTAATGTAACTAAACAATCTTCCTTTTGGTTGATGGTTGCCTGATTAATATTTTTCTATCTCTATACTTTTAACACTTCTTATTCTGATGTTTTAGGTATGTCATTTTTGAGAGCATACATCTAGATCAATTTTTCCCAAGGTGAAAATCTTTGTCTTTCAACTGATGTTTTCATATTTTTATTATTGTTACTTTTTATTTATTCCTACCAGCCTATACTAGACTCTCTACTTACCAGGGTCTTTTTTTTTCAACTCCTTAACTTCCTTCTATTGGATTTTCCTTACTCCCTTTCCCCCTCTACTGCTTTGGAAGTTAGACGTTCAAATTCTGTTCTTTTAATGTCACTATTCATAATTTAAAGAGTATGTTCAATTCTTAACATGCATTCTTGATAAAGTTCAAAATGATCTTCGACCTCCACTAGCATACAAGAACTTTAATGCTACAATGCCAAGCACAGCCTTCACCTATTATTTTGCTTCCACTTTTTCTTTCCGTTACCTTTTGCTTCCACTTTAAAACTAGATTCCACACAGTCAATACTTTTTATCTACTGCATTTGCTTCCTCTGTATCTTTCTGCATCCCACTCCTCCCTTTCGGATTTCTTTTATTAGTTCTTTCAGCAAAGGCCTGAAAGTGGTATTCTTAAGTCTTTTATTTGAGTAAAAAAGTCAAACATTATTTTTCCTCTAAATTCCAAAGATTTAGTGGCTTCTTAAAACTTTTAAGAAGTCTACCAATCTTACCTTTTCTCTATTTCCTCTGATAGCTTTGTCACTGGTATTTCATAATCTGCAGTTTCACATTTATGTATCTCCTCTGATAGGTCACTGGTATTTCATAATCTGCAGTTTCACATTTATGCATCTAGGTACGAATTGATTATGTCTCATGTTTGAGACTACTGCTTCTTGATCCATCAATTTTGGAAAACTCTCAACTATCTATTAATTCTTCACCATTTACTCCTTCTCGAACTCAGATATATGACAGGGCTTCACAATCTATTTCCTATACTTCTTAAAATTTCAATTTTCATCTTTATCCTTCTGAACAGAATCCTGGGTAATTATATCTATTTTCTACCTCACTAATTATTTCTTCTGCTAGGTCTATCTGCAATTCAACTTGGCCACTTCTTCCATTTCTAGAAGTTACACTTGACACTTGGTTCTTTTTCAAATCCGCGTAACCATTTTCCACGTCTTGGTCTTAGGGTTGATTACTTCTTTTAGGTTTCTAATAATTTTAAACACATTAATACTCGCTTTCAGACTGACTATTAGGGATTCAAATGCCATCTGTCACTCTCATTTTGGCGAATTGCCTTCCAGAATTCTGCAATGTTTTACTGTAAACTTACGTTCTGCAAGGCTTGTTTTTTCTGTAAGATTCCTCGTGACCTAGGCTCTGAAATGTCCTCAGAAAAGGTTTTTCATTTGTTTTTACTAGAAACCCCAAGGTTACTGTCAGTCTAGAACCAATTTTTATGTTAAATTTCTTGGCCTGAGGTTTCCTGGACCTCATAACTAATCTAAATGTACACCAAAACTGTATGAAGCACAGGCCCCAAGTTACAAATTCTCAGGAAAAAACTTTTTCCCCTCACTCAAGGCCCAGGCTTCCTTGTTATCTCCTATCCTGGTACAAAGGCTTTTCTAGTTCATTATTTCACTGAAGATACAGTCCTTCAAACATCCAGGTTTTATGTAAGGGTTCCCATTACATGGCTCTAATGGTCTCAAGGCTGCATCTCCTGTCCTTAGTTATTTGGGCAATAAACTCCAAGTCTCTGAATGAGACCTACACCCTTCTCTATGCCTACCATGCTGGCTTCTACTTCATTTCTGGCAGCAGGGGCTCGCCCTTTGTTTTATGTAAGTTCTTGCATTTTTAGCTATTTGTAGACAGAGGATTTACAAGTTATCTTAGTCTGCCATAGTGCCAAAAGAAGTTTCTTGACTTCGTAATTTTTATATGTATAACTGATATTAGATTTGATTTTAACTTCAAAGGTGTCAGATAATTCACATTTGTCTGAGAGTCTGACTCACAATATTTACAACTCTGATTTATTTATTATGTAAGCATTTATTTTATTATGCTTATAAGTCTTTCCTGTCAGGCACCTGTAGTGGCTGAGTCAATTTGATAAGTTAAATTTACAATATAGTTTGGAATGCTTAAAGGACTTAACTTAATGCCATTAGTTGTTTAGGGGGGAGTCTGCTGTTAAATTTATTAACTTAAACATTCATCAAGAGCAAGTCAAAAGCATTATTCCTATTTTTATACAAAGTCGAAAGTATTATTTTTATACACAAATTACAAAATGTACAGAGTATATAACAACACTAAGTAGAACTTAAAAGATTCTAACTCTAATTGACTTAATGTAGAAACAAGCAATTATTAGTTCTTTTTGACATGAAGGTCAATTTTGATGTTAAAAAAACTCAAATTACAAAATGACAAGTAAGTGCTGTCTTGGTAATTTTGAAGACCAGTGATAATGGATTACCCAGCTCACACACTATTATGACACATTGAAAATCCTGGATTTTACAAACGGTACAGCTCTAAACTTTAATTTTCCATAAAAGCTACCCAGTCCTACAAAAATAAGCCATTGCTTTAAACCAATAATTATGTCAAAAATCGAGACAAGTCAATGGTTTTTAATGAGCACTGTATCCACTGAAATGGTAAATTTCTGCATGAAGGTGGGAGAATCTTAAAAAAATTTTTTTTTACATCACGGATGGGCTACACACCCTCCTGAGTGTACTTCTATGTACTTCTGTGGAGCTTTACCAGACTTCATTCCAAATTATGCAGCTGGTAAAATATGTACCAATGTCACCTTTGGAGTAAGAAATTATTTCTTGCTTGAGCAAGAATTAAAGAGACAAATTCTGTGCAATTAACAGCCTCTTACATCAGGGAGATGCCCCTTCCCCTTAAAGATCAACCTTCTGGCTTAACATCAATGTTAATCTAAAGAACGTTTATCATTTCCCTGTCCAACCATTCTTGCTAATTTAACTTGGTCTCCTCTCAGCCTGCTGCTTCCTTTTTGTCACATATTTCCACTCTTCTGCAAAACTGGATTACCTGGGGGGCGGGGAGCGTGGGTTGTGTTTTTGTTTTTTTTAATATCAACAAGTTCTCCCTTAAAAAAATGTAAAATACTCTGCCAGCAGTCATTTTCATCACAACCATATGGCTTTCAGGGACGTGTTCTGCTTTTCCACCTGAAAAGTAACATGTAATTCTCATGATGGTTCCTAGGAAGTGGAGAGCCGGGTCTTTCTTTGCAGCCTGCGATGTGCCCAACAACAGAGGGCCTTGTGTGGCAGCTTGGACTGCTAAGTCAAGAGCAGACCCACGTCCTGGACTTTATATTCTACTTTCGCAAGACCTAAACGGGCTGTCCTGATAAGACCAAGGCCTCTTTTTCTCTTTCACACAACGGAGGCACCTCTGTCAATTTAAAGTGCTTGATGGAAGACTGCCTTTCCTTTGGTCTGTATTTTCAACGTAAATGCCACAGGGACCTACAAGAGCCCATCAATAATAGACAGGGCTCACTTTCAAGCTCGTGCAGGAGATAAACAACTGAAGAGGTGAAGATGACAGAGAAGGGTGAAGAGGAATTATACGCAAGCACCCCCATCTCGAATCCGGGAGGCTGGTGCGGAGGGAATGACGACATGTATGTAGGATTTCGTGTCAGGCAACGTCGTTTAAAAGGGCCCCCAGAGCGTCAAGGCCCCCACCTGATGAATGGGTGAGTCAGGAAGGCCCAGCTCCACGTCACGGATGGGGAAACTGAGGGACGAGACGGCGAGATGACTGGCCGGAGGCCTCGCTGAAAGATCTGAGGCGGAGCGGAGAACCAGAAGCACCGATTCTCTCCGGCCGATGCTCTAATCACGGGCTCCCCCCGCCCCTGCGATGGCGTAGCAGCCTCCGCCCCCCGATTCACACACCCTCCCCCGGGAGCAGCACGTCGCCTCCCCCCCACACCCCCACCCCAGCCTCCCTCAGGGCCGGAGACTGTCCCGCGGGGCCCTCCGGTGGGCAGGAAGACGGCCCAACCCCGCCGGGCCCCTTCTCGCCGCTGCCGCTGCTCGCTGAAAGTGTCACCTACCCGACATGACTAACGGCCGCGGCGCAGAGCCCCCACAACCCGCCGAGAACAAGGAATACCAGAGCCAAGCGGCGCTGCGGCCGGAGCCGTACTGAGGGCGGCGCGGCGATCTGGCCCAGAATGCGGGACTTCGGCAGCCAATCAGAGGGCATTGGGCGGTACCACAACGCCACGGCTCGAGGGGTGGCTCTGTGCTAAACCAGAACCCAGAGGACTTCAGAATCCCCGTTTCCCCCTCCTCGGACGGTACCATTATTGAGAGGGAATGGTGGAGAGGCCGTACCACTGCCGCGATCGGGATGGGGGAGGGGACTGAACCTACCTGGTACGTCCTGATTACAGTCCTATTTTTCACTTCATTGGATCTAATAGAGTTCGAGATTAGGAAGCGAAACAGGAGAGCCTTATAAACGCAGATTATATGGTTAGGAAAGGAAATTTCGAATTGTATGTCCTAGTTCGCTCCGCTTGGGCTGCAGAAGGCTTGAGCCACCTGGGGGCGTTGGGAGTTGCTGAGCTCCGGGCCGTAAAGTCATGACGAACTGCGGGACCAAGTCGCCTCCCGGTTTGTTGTAACTAACTTGCCGAGTAACAGACTACAAGGTGATACTGGAACAAACGTGTGCCTTAAAACGAAATCACACACAAACCGGACCCTGAGGATGTGTCAGGGTAGGGAGTCGAGCTTTAGTTTTCGGTGCTAGGATAATAGCTAATTCTAATTGTCAGGCACCTTGCATCGTCTTGTTTAATTCTCACAACAGACTGATGAAATACTATTCCCACGTTACAGACGAGAAGGCAGAATTCACTTGCCCTGGGTCGCACTACTGGTAAATGGCCAATGTGGAATTGGAATCCTGGTAACCAGGCACCACTGCCTGTGGGTCTAACTATTCTGTTGCCCTGCCTACAGGGGGCTCAAGCTCTCGAGTCTGAGGTGAGGCTATGAAAGCTCAGAGAGAGCACACAAGGACACTTTCCCCAAGGGCGACGTGACATCTGATGAGACAAAACATAGGTGATGTGCAGAAGCTGACCACTTCTTAAGTGGGGAAAAGTGTTTTCAATGACTTGGGACTTTCGCGGTGGTCCAGTGATTAAGACTCCGCGCTCTCAATGCAGGGGGCCTGGGTTTGATTCCTGGTCAGGAAATTAGATCCTGCATGCTGCAACTAAACACGTGGCAACGAAGATGCTACGTGCAGGCAACTAAGACCTGGCCCAGCCAAATAAACAAATACTTTTTTAAAAAAGTGATTCAATATGTTTGGAGTTTACCCACGAGGGGAGTGTGGTAGGAAATGAAGGCAGAAAATTAGGGGGCTAAAGAGGTGAGACCTTGTAAAGTACATTAGAGTTTGTGCTTTATTGAAGGCAGTGGGTAACTCCTGCCAGATGATTTTAAAGAAAGATCAGACTTGCATTTTCGGGCTGCAATATGAAGAATGTATGGAGATAAGAGGTGCCTAAAAGCAGGGAGACCGATTAGGTGACCAATGAAATAATTCTGGTGAGGGATCATAGTAGCCTGGACTTAGGTTGTGGCTGTGGGGATGGAGGTAAGTGAGAAGATCCCTGACATACTTAGGTAGTAGACTGAGCAAGATCTGGTGACCAATTTGGGTTGGAAAAGAGGTGAGAAGTCCAAAAAAGAAAAAGAAAAAAAAAGAAACGAGAAGTCCTGGGTAAATTCTGAGTTTCACACCTGGACAAGTAGGCAGGTGGTGGTGTCATTCACTGTGACAGGGAAAAGGAGGAGGGGCAGGCTGGGCTAGAGGTGGAGTGGTAAGTTCAGAATTACTGCCTTCAGGTCAGAAAAAGAGGCATGAGGTCATCTCTCTTCATTATACTAGCAGTAAACGAGAGCTCAGCTCTAGAGGTAGAGGGTCACTGAGTTCTCTAGGCAGGTCCAAATAAGCAAGCCTAAAGAAATAGAAATTCTGGGGCTTCCCTGGTGGCGTAGTGGTTAAGAGTCCGCCTGCCAATGCAGGGGACACGGGTTCGTGCCCCAGTCCGGGAAGATCCCACGTGCTGCCGAGTGGCTGAGCCCATGAGCTATGGCCACTGAGCCTGCGCGTCCGGAGCCTGTGCTCCGCAACGGGAGAGGCCACAACAGTGAGAGGCCCACGTACAGCTTAAAAAAAAAAAAAAAAAAAAAAAGAAAGAGAAATTATTTCATGACTAAAAACAATTTAGCCATTCAGTGTATATACTGAGGAAGGCAACCCCAGAGGAGGAGATGGGCAGGAGAGAATTCGGTTATTGCCAGTTGGGGGGGGCAGGGAACACGATTTCTAGGTTTTTCTTCCTCTTTTTTTTTTTTTGAATATTTTTTTAGTTTATTTATTCTATTATTTTTGGTGGGGTTGGGTCTTCGTTGCCGCACGCGGGCTTTCTCTAGTTGCGGCCAGCCGGGGCTACTCTTCGTTGCCAATCGCCGGCTTCTCATTGCGGTGGCTTCTCTTGTTGCAGAGCACAGGCTCTAAGAGCGTGGGCTCAGAAGTTGTGGCACGCGGGCTTAGTTGCTCCTCAGCATGTGGGATCTTCCTGGACCAGGGACCGAACCCACATCCCCTGCATTAGCAGGCGGACTTCCAACCACCGTGCCACCAGGGAAGTCCCTTTTCCTCTTTTTGAATTTTTTTCAAAATTTAGAATTAGGCTATTTTAAAAGATGGATATACAAAAAGTGTTGCTCATCATCAACCCCTTAAGTTTGTACCACCATTCATTCATGCATTCTTCAGTCAGCTGCCATCTCCTGAGGTCTACTAGGTGTCAGGCCCTGGAAGACCTAGAAATAGAGAAACAGGAAGCAGGATGGCTCCTGCCCTCCAGGAAGGGCCTTCTCATAACAGGGACAATACAAACCTATGATTCCAATAAACTACTGAACATGCTAGAATTGGAGGGTGCAGAGGGTGGTCTGAAAACACAGAGGAGGAGCACCTAGCCTACATGAAGGGTAGAAGGGTTATTAAGGAAGTCTTCCTGCAGGAGATGCCTCCTAAACCGAGCTTTGAAGAAAGAATAGGAGTTAGCCGGGGGAGTGTATATCGGGAACAGCATGCTCCAGGCAGCAAGGGCTGTATTTGCAGAGACCGGGAGAGAAGAGGGTTCTGGGAGTTCTTAGTGATTCAGTCTGGCTGGTCTGTGGAGTTGCAGGGGTGGGGAATGGTGATAAGTGAAAGAAGTAGGCAGAAGCCACATTTTGAAAATCCTTGTGTGCCTTGTGGAGGAGTTTGGATGTTAAATTTAAAACAATAGAGAACTTCTGAGGAATCTAATCAAAGGAGTGACATTTAGTTTTTTATATCCATTATCTTTTAATCTGGACAGCCCTGTGAAATAGATATTGCTGTTATCCACATTTTGTAGACTGAAGACTGAAGCTTGGGGAGGTGAAATTCTTTACCAAGTTCACACAGCCAACTAGGGACAGAAACAGAGCTCACATCCAGGCCTTTGGGCCAAGCCCCGTGTTCTTTTTACAGTGTCTGTGGTCTCCCAAACTTGAAACAGAGAACTCCTCCCAGGTCTGCATTGTTCTGCGGCTTCTTTCCAAGGGTCCTTCTCTACCACAAACTGACTCCAGATTGACTCCTGTGCCCTCGTGCCTTCCAGGCTTTTGCGAGGATGATTATCTGCCACAAACTTTAACCCTCACTCTATGTATTTAGGGAAGACAGCAGGTACTTTTCATACATCAGCTTTAGCAGAATGCATCTGGGAAGGTCTTAATAGTGGGTCCGTTTGCCCCTGATCCATTCCTCGGGTCCTCACTTGGGGAGCTGACCCCTGCAAGCTGGTTTCAATTTCAGCGATTCCCTTAGGCGGTAGCTTCCAGCTAGAATGGCCAGGGAGCATCTCGGTGGGAAATTAGGTGGTAGAAGAAAGGGAGGATCAAGGGGTATTTCTCCTCCCCCACCCCCCCTCTGTCTGCCACAGGAGGTGTCTCAGGCAGCACCTATCTTCTCCAGAGACCCAGTTTCCCTTGGTGACCCTGGCTCTTGGGCTCCAGAACCCTACCCCTCCCTTCATCCCTCCAGCCTATGGTTGGTAGACTCTTCTCGCTGTTGATCATTTCTGAGTTGCCTCCACCCTGTTTGGCTTCCCAACTCTTCCACCACTGGTGTAGGTCCTTGTAGGACACCGCAAGGACTGTGAATTTACTCAGAATGAGAAGGGAAACCAGTAGAGGGAGCCATTTAGCAGAGTGCCAATAGGATCTGAGCTATTTTACCAGGATTACTCTGGCTGCTATCTTAAGAACAGATTGTAGGGGGCAGGGAGAAGTTATTACTCCCACCACAGTAGAAACCAGACCCCAGTGATCTTTTGCCTCTTTCAAAATCCTGTGGAACTCACAATTGGACCACATAATTCAAGGCTTGCCTACCTGCTTAGAGGCCAATTTGTTCTGTAGTTGGGTTGCATCATTCATCTCTGAACCCCCCAGTGCCTCATACAGCACCTGAAACAGTAGGCACTGAAAAAAGGGGGTGGGGGGGACTTAAATGAATGAATAAATAAATGATGAAAAAAATGGCATGACTTGTCTAGAAACTCCTCAAGCTCAAAAACCTCATCCAGGACTTCCCTATGTCTCCCATGGGGCACAGAGTAAGTGTTTGGTGAGTATTTGTTGAACACTGTAGGCCTGCTCTGTGCCAGGTGCCCTCATCACCCACCCCCACCCCACAGAGGGGTCCCTGGAGCCCCACACCTCCAGCCTTCGTAGAGAGCAAGCCTCCCACGGAGATGAGGCTGACACTCCGCTGCGGCAGGGCGGGAGGAGGCTCCTTGTGAGTGACCTGCTGCCCTGTCCTCTGGACAGAGGCAGGCACTTCCTGTTTGGGGTGGAAAGGAACCAGACACTTTCCTGTTAGCAGGTCTTTTAAGCAAAGCCACAGATGCTGAACAGGTCCTGGCCCAGCCTTTCAGGCCAGATGCCTGGAGGTTAGATGGCCTTTATGTAGAAGGGAAGTGGGGCACAGGGCCAGA